ATAAGATGAGTGAATGCTTTTTTCTTTTTTTTTCTTTGCTTTTGCTCCATAATTGCTGATAGAGGACACCATGTATCTGCACTGGCTCATCCGGTATCTAAAACAGGTAACAACAGATAAGAGCATAACAAGGACAAGGTTTCCATTTGTTGTTACAAGAAATGAATGGTCTACTTTTTAAAAGATCTTTTGGAAATACTTTAAAGACTAGGCTCTAATTGTGTACAGTAATTGAAAGGAGAAATGAGGTTAGTACAAAACTCCTGGAAGAATAAAACCAACAGAAAATACACAAAGATGTGCTCACAACACACCAAACAACTCTATTTAGGACTTGATCGATGATATAGAGGGCCTCACATCAGATGGTTGCTTCAGTGGGGTAAATAAATTTCTGATTATTAAGGCTGAGAAGTAGATATGATATATATATGTACATATACATGTCTTTTACACTGAAGTGTAAAAGACATGTATATGGAGCCTATCCCAGCTGTCATAGGGCGAGAGGCAGGGTACATATATATATATATATTAGTATCTATATATACATATATATATATATAATATATATATATATATATAATATATATTATATTATTTATATATATATAAAATATATATATATATATATATATATATATATATATATACTTGAAATGTACATTTACATGATCACAAGCCAGTCTTCTCCTGGTAATATATGATTTCTACAATACAATGTAAGTTTTTGACAAGGGTAGCTATGCACTAAATTAGTAACCAGGTTGTGAAAGACACAGCAAACAGTTGTATCATTCATTAAGTCGCGATATCTCTCTGATATGCATGGAAAGCGTCATCCAGTAAGTGTAAAGATCTATTACTGCATCTGATATTTACCCAGCAGTCAATAGTTGGTGGCAAACAGTTCTTTCATTGACATGTGTTGGCAGTGCTGGGCCCACTGCCCTGATATGACAAATGTATCTGGCAGCAGACTTTTTTCACTGATGAGTGTTCTTTACTCTGGTTTAATGAGGCTGTTTACATGCTATGCACAAACACAGCTGCACTTGGTTGATGATTCTGTTTAAGTTATCATGTTCATCCTCCGCAGGGACAGATGCTACACATGTTTATGCGCACAGGTTGTTTTTCTATCATATATCAAAAGTTCTTTACCAGCACTGTTGCTGTATAGACAAAGAGCAGTAAGATAAATACAGTAAATGAAATTAAGCTGCTGTTATCTAAACTATCCTCAAAAGCACTTGCTTATCGTCTTCTCGCTTTGACTCTGACAGTTACTTTTTTAAAGAAACCGCTTGCTGTGAAAGTTGTTTTCAAGAATCACGACTTTCCTTTAAGAATTTCCAATAAAAGCTTTCTACCATAAGGGAGACAGATAGGAAAACTTGAACAAATACCAGCAAAAACAGCTTACTAACTAGACACTTCTAGAGGGAGAAATGCCAAAGAAGGGTGAGCTGAAGAACTAAATCATAAATTATACAAACAGTGAAAAACATCCAATCCATTAACAGATGACTGGGTATAAAAATGGCAGGAATGACTCTTTCAGAAGGGAAATGTCAAGTTAAATCACAAAGCCTTTGTATATTCTCATCAGCATCCCTCAAACTAGGAAAAGAAAAGTAATAACAACAATTATTCAAACTTAATACAGCTTTGTTACAACAGACATTTAGATTTAGAAGAACAGAAAAAGCATTCTAGTAAATGTTAAATATTTGATAGTCACAATTTGATAGAAGTAACACCTGTGCTTGATGAGACAAATTCTTTCTATTACCACACGACAAGTAAAGAAAAGAAAGAGTGTGATACTATATTGGGGCGTTAGAGCAAAACAGAACAAAAGTATTCTAGAGAGTCTTGAATAATTTCTAAATCATTACAGTCTGCTCTGTTCAAATCAATACTCTGGTCAGGAAAGCATTAAAGAAAACAATACGAACTTTAAATTCTGCTTCCGTGTTTCACTGCTAGTGCTTTCCAGTTGCACATGCTCGCTCAATGTTGTGGTAAAATACTACATTCAAGTGGAACATAACAATTGCAGATGTTATTAGTCACACCCAACAAATCAAAGCATCCACCACGTAAAAGTTCTATTAAACAGGATAGTGTGGGTAGATTTGTGTTTTGTTTAAGTGCTTTGGTTTCAGGCATTTTAAGGAGGAGTTTACAAACAAAGAGCAAGAGGGATTTAAAATGAATTCTGTCTTATTGCAAAACCCAAAAGGAAAAACTACTCAGCAAAGAGAAATGTGTGCTGTCTCAGTGGCACTTGACTCCACCTATAAGCCCTTGTTTTGTGTCCTATTAATGCTGCCAGAGAATGAGTAATCAATGAATGGTCATATTCAGTGACTGACTAAAACCAGGCACTGAATATGACATGAAACATATGAAAAAAATATCAAAGTAATGTCACTAACTAGTAAAGGACTGATGAAAATCTTATTATTTACTAAAGAAGCTTCCTTTTAACTGAAGTAGCCCTAGAGTGATCCAGCACTCTGGGGATTCAGGGGTTCACTTTAGTTCATTGAGCAGCCTCCATTGTTGCTTTCTAAAGCCATAAATGTGTGTATATGTATGTGTGTGACAACAACACACAAGCACAGAAGGCTGCTTTGTAGTAAATGTTCCCTGTTGAGAAACATGATAATTGTGTTCTTGTCAAACATCTTGATCATATCTTTATATAAGTCATAAAATATGCAATAACATTTTAGATATTGCCATGAAAATTGACATTAATTATAAAGATAAAATAGTAGCTATGTGATAATTTTACTTTCCCCCATAGAGATAAAATCTGATTACAATGAAAAACTAATTAGATACAGTGGGAAAAGGGAGGCAGCTGCAGTAGGGCAGAGCTGCAGCACTCACATGTACTGCATTCATCGTCTCTAAGCCTCTGCAGTATCAGTGGGCACAGGTCCACTACTGCATCAACTATTATATCTGCTCAGGATGAGCTTCTCTGGACATCTTCTCAGTTAAAAGATAAGAAGATTAACTGGGTTGGCTTCTGAGCATTCAGCATTACAGTTAAATAATAACCGAAGGTTCAACATAAGTTGAAGCATTAAAGAACTAAAATAAATCACACAGGGAAAAGTAAAACTGTTTAAAAAACATTTAAGAGGGCAGAGCAGCAGGAGACATCCAGTGAGTTCAGTATACAAACAAATCCCTGAATAATCACCACATCCTGGACACTCCTTCTACTTTCTCTAAATATACCTTAAAACCTGTAATCTCAAAATGACTAAGCCGCTCAGATCTTTAAAGAAGACTTTACATACACCATCAGGCAGGCAACATAGACACCAGCAGCTGTTCAAATCTCCCCAATGTTAGCTTATTTACCACTGGGGCTTCACAGGTGCCAGCAATTAAGGAGGCTGCTTGCCTTAGGAGTGTCTCTAAGCATACAGTAAACCTGAAATCTTTATCTTTTAATAATTATCAACACAACTCATTAAAAGATGAAAACCGGATATAAGCAGAGATACTCCAAGCCATCTTACCTGTAGCCTGTGTAGTGAAAGCTGAAATAGTGAATGCCTCCAGGCCAATATACTCCAGATGTCTCAAAAACTTAATTTTCATTGTGATGAACAATTGTTCCACCCAAGAAAGTCATATTTTAATGCTATTTTGTGATTTAAATATCCTATTTGTTACAAAACAAGATGCTCTGTGTTATATCACTTCCTTCCTAACACAAGAGCTTATACACCTTTCATAGCACTGAAATACCTTTTTCATTCCTTTATAACACAGCTGAGGTATTGGAAAGAGGGATTTTCAGTATTTTTCTATGCTCAGTGAATAACTGTATAAATACATCTTGTTAGGATCTTTAGCTATGCTACCAGCTGTGTGAGGCTGTACATAAAAACAATAGAGGAAGTGAAAAATGCACACCTTCCTGCTTTCCTATACTAAGGAAACCTTAAGCAATGCAACCTTTAAAAAGGAAAGAAAACTCAGTTTCCAACTCCAGCATGTCGGTCTGGGTGAACAACCTGTCACATGACTTAAACAGTCTCTTCCACACTTATCTTATTCATAATGTGGTTTAAAACAATGAACATTACAGCAAACACATGGATTTTCCTGTTTGAATGCAGCTAGCCATCAAACATTAGAGCCAATTATTGCTTGACATAAAACTTATTGTTGCAGCCAGGGGCAGCCCAAAAGTGATCCCTTTAGACTGGTTTTTGGTTTTAGTGTCCTGATTTTCCTCAGAGTTATCCATTCTGTCACTAGCTAGCAAACATAAACATACTGACAGAAGATGGCACTAAACATGTTTAAAAACTTGTTTAAACGTGTTTAAAAAATTCACAGACAGTGTTACATCTATGTCAGTTTTTGAGGTGTGGTGTAGTGTTTCATTTCCTCTTTAACCCCCATTTATCCAGGGAAGCTACTGCATGACCACTGGAAGAGATTGTTTTTGTTAGTTAGTTATTTTTGTTTGATTTATTTATTTCTTTTTTGTAGTGGACAACTACAGCTGTGTCTGGGCTCAAATATTTAAGCCAAGATAGAGTCAATATGTCAAACGACCTACAAAATGTTACTACTGGGCATTGAAATCTGCCACTTTTCCCACTTCCTGTCTAACTGGTGTACTGTTAAATGATAAGTATGGGACGCTATTTTGGCTGGAACACTGTATTGAATTAGAATTACTATCAAGTAGAGGAAGTCCATCAAGTTAACATTTTCCACCCCTTAGATCAACTAGTGAATTTTATGTGCCTCCACAATAAACTACATCTCTTTAGGATCTTGAGCCATGCTACCATTCTAATATATTCTAATTCAAATATAACAATTAGAATTGTTATTCAACATTTAGAATGTGCTGAAAGATTGGAACTACAAGTGATCCAGGTAGATTGTTTTAAATGTTAAGAGACAAAACAAGCTTGAAATAGACATGAAAACAATATGTTTACACTCACCTCATGTTGGACAGGCTCAGGTCTTCCTTAGCTGGACTTTTCATAACACATTCTAACCTGTTCTGTTGTCAGTGCTTAGTGAGAAGTGACTCACCACTGGATCAGTAAGCTTATGGGCACTCTGTTAGCTCTGCTAGTCTGTGTTTTGGCCCTCCCTCTCTGTCTGATTCTTTTTCTCTCTCACTCACTCTTCAGTCTTTGTGCGTGAGCACATGTGTGTGTGTGTGTGTGTGTGTGTGTGTGTGTGTGTCGCTCAGGAATGTGGAAAGTAGTTTTTTTTGCCTCAGAGGCTCCACATATTTTTAATCATGTTTGCTATTCTGTAACACAAACATATGAGCCAGAACTGTTGGGAAATATCAGTTTCATCATAGCCATTACTCTGGTCATGCACATACATTTGATTTTATTTTGTTAAAACCTTGAGATATTGTTGTTGTTTTTTTTATCTAACCCAATAAAACCCACTTAAAAATAAAGGTTGAGTATGTGCTAAGACTATTTTGATAGCAAAAACAAAAAAGTTAAAAATAACAACTGCTGAAAAAAGAAGAAGCATGTCCACGCTGTTCCAAGTTTCAGTGAACACCTCTGCCAAAAACTGCCTGTGTAATTAGACAGGCCCATGAAGATAATCTGTTGGGTGGAGGAATTTCAGTTCATCTCTGCCCTCGGGCCATTTTCACAGTTTGGTTGTCTTATTCATTTGTATATTTTATTAGTTATTATGTCATTTCCTCTGTGGGTTTACATCCCTATAAAACTATGAGTGAGGTTTTGTCTCTAAATACATCAACAAACTGAGAAATATAGGAAATTAGAGCGTGTCCAGAAAGTATTCATAGCACATCACTTATTCCACATCATGTTAAAGCCTTGTTCCAGAATGGAATGAATGATTTTTTTCACCTCAAAATTCTACACATAATACCCCATAATGACAGTGAAAAAAGTTGCTTAAAATTCCTAAGAATGAATACACACACACACACACACACATACACACACACACACACACACACACATATATACGGTATGTATATATATATATATATAAAATTCCCTACTCGCCCCTGTGGACGGTCAATCCTTCAAGCTCGGGTCCTCTACCAGAGGCCTGGGAGCTTGAGGGTCCTCCACAGTATCTTAGCTGTTCCCAGGACTGCGCTCTTCTGGACAGAGATCTCCGATGTTGTTCCCGGGATCTGCTGGAGCCACTCGCCTAGCTTGGGAGTCACTGCACCTAGTGCTCCGATTACCATAGGGACCACCGTCACCTTCACCCTCCACATCTTCTCGAGCTCTTCTCTGAGCCCTTGGTATTTCTCAAGCTTCTCGTGTTCCTTCTTCCTGATGTTGCTGTCATTCGGAACCGCTACATCGATCACTACACCTGTCTTCTCATGTTTGTCTACCATCACTATGTCCGGTTGGTTAGCCACCACCATTTTGTCCGTCTGTATCTGGAAGTCCCACAGGATCTTAGCTCGGTCATTCTCCACCACCCTTGGGGGCATCTCCCATTTTGACCTCGGCACTTCCAGGCCATATTCGGCACAGATGTTTCTGAATACCATGCTGGCCACTTGGTTATGGCGTTCCACGTATGCCCTGCCTGCTAGCATCTTGCACCCTGCTGTTATGTGCTGGATTGTCTCTGGGGCATCTTTACACAGCCTGCACCTGGGGTCTTGCCTGGTGTGATAGACCCCAGCCTCTATGGATCTTGTACTCAGAGCTTGTTCTTGTGCTGCCATGATTAGTGCCTCTGTGCTGTCTTTCAGTCCAGCTTTGTCCAGCCACTGGTAGGATTTCTGGATATCAGCCACCTCCTCTATCTGCCGGTGGTACATACCGTGCAGGGGCCTGTCCTTCCATGATGGTTCCTTGCCTTCCTCCACTTTCTTGGGTTTCTGCTGCCTGAGGTATTCACTGAGCACGCTGTCAGTTAAAGGAGGAATCCAGGCAGTGAAGAAGGAACAGTGAGGATTGAGCAAGTGAGCAGGCTGGCAATGTCACCTGAGAGGAGGAAGAGTGGGGTTGTTATTTTCTTTTCCAGTGGTAAACGATCCAGAGATGGTAAGAGATAGCTGGGCAGAGACCGACTGACTAACACAATGAGTAATAATAAAACAAATGCTAACTCAATCACTAAGCATGGAAGATTTTTACCACAAATATGGCAGCAGTGGTGAAAAATGGATGCTATGACAAATCCTTAAATACGCTGCAAACTAGTGAGCTGGGTAGCAGGTGCACCTGCACCTGTTAGAAACCTTGTTTCTAACAGCCACACAAGTATGCAGCCACACCTTCCAGGGATCTAGGAAGGTGGTAAGAACCTGCTTACTAAAAATCAGTGGAAAGAACAGGAAGAATAGAGAAGGAAAAGAGAGAAAAAGGTGGACCTCAGAAGGACTGCAGACCATGGCAGACTTATGTTTTATTTAATGGCTATTTGTGGCTATTAATGACTATTGGTTTTCCTTGTTTTATGAAATTAGAGCGTTTTATGAAAATAGGTTGTCGATGGAGAAAGATTTGCATAGCGAGTTTCTGGAATAAGACAGCAATTCATGATTCTTGATGATAGTGTCTCTTTGTTCTCAAGTGGCAAGTTGAAAAAAAATTGACCTGTGGGAAAAAAAAGTCCCCTTTTAGCTGTGGAAGATCTCAAGTGGTTTATATTCATTTTAAAAAGAAGACCGAAGCATGAGCCAAATTATTGCTAAAATCAAAGGTGTGCCCTTAAGGCTGCCTTAAAGGGTCTTCGGTTGAGGAGACATATGCTCATTTTACTGCACACTTAGGCCCATTATCTTTTATTATTTCACATAGCTAAGCAAGAAAAATAACTTCAGGTCAAAGGGGGTTCTGCAAAGCTTTACTCCAGACATTATTACAAAGAATTCACCAGGGAATTCCTACTAAATTTGATGGCAATCCATCCAGTAATTGCTGAAATTCACAAAGGAAATGCCACAGTGGAAAGTTAGATAATCAAAGTCAACACCATAATTCCTCCGTGGAAGATAAATGTCTGTACACAATTTTATTGCAGTCCATCCAACATTATTTCTCTCTGGATTACAATAATGAGCTGATTGATCAGCTGATTGATGATGAGTCCTTCTTGAGCCATTCTGCTGCAGGTGTGACTTAATGTGGCACAGCTGGTTTGACAGTATTGTGTTTGGTATTAAAGCTACTTTAAAGGTATTTCCAGTAGATGCCATTTATTATGCTTTTTTACTAGCTTTGTTCATTTACTGTGCTTCCTCTCCTTTTACAAGGTCACTGCTGTATGCTGACTCATTTGCTTTCATTGTAATACCTTCTGTTTTATGGTATGACTCAGACATTGCAGACATTTTACAGAGGTTTCAGTGAGACTGATTCAGCCCTGCTTTTGCTCTCATCATACACTACCAACTGTAGTACTGTCTGCCTGTTCAGCTCACTGAGTCTGTGCTTAGTCACAGGTTTTCTGAGCCTTTTGTGAGTTTAATGGTTTGAAGTCTGTGATGATGCACATTCCAAAAGTAATCTGGATTTGTTTGTAATGGAAAGCTCAGCTTCTCTACTGACCTAATTTTTGTTTTATAGTTAGTTTTGGCCATGGGAGGGAGTTTACTGCTTATAAAAACCTTAATTTTTGCCTTTATGTACATGCTTTAGTTAGACTTACTGTTCGTTAATGATTGCAGTCTATTAGAGAATGCAGCGTTGGAGACAATTCATCGGTGGCCTTCAGTGAGAAACCTTCGGTGAACATTTTATTTTCATCTTTCAGCACTAGACATTAATTTTTTTATCCCCTTTCCCCTCTAATATTTGTAGTAGTTCAAATATGGAGTTTAAAGCTGTATAGTAATGTAAAAGTTATATATAATTACATGTACATTTATTTTTCATAAGTCAGACTCAGAGGTCTTGAAAATTAACAATGAAACGTCATTATTTATGTGTGCCTATCATGCACATGCCAAGGTGTTAATGCAGCGCAACATCGCCTCACTGTTCATTGTTTGTTTACATAATGGCCCACTGTGATGAGGAAATGAAGTTATGAGAAATCAAAACAAAGCCTCTGTGCTCTTTTCCGTCAAATACTTTACTTCCTGACTCACCTAAATACCAGCCCACACAAACAATGAAGCACTTGAGGTTTTTATGGGAGAAATGACCTGTTTCATTGCTGATTACTGCTGAAGTCAGGTTTGACCTGCAGATTATTGTTTTGTTGATTTAAGGATTTTAGCTGAATGCTTTGAAGGTACATGGAAGCAACCTAATAAAGTTAAACGGCATGGAAACAAAAAACAAAGAAGGAAATAAATACTATAGACTGGTTTTATGAATCCTTTAGGGCTGTAAAGCCTTTGTAATACTCTTGTCAATATGCCAAATATTGGGCAACAGATGACAAAACCTGCTTGTCTTGACAGGCAAATCCAAATGAGTGGCAACCTCTTGTGAACTGTAAAATGTGGTGTAAACAACAAGTAGATTTTGAATGAACTTGAACAAAATGTAAAAATCTATCAAATAAATAGTAATGGTAGCATAAAACAATTAAGACCTTTGTAAAAGAAATGTATAAAATATATGTAAAAATAATTATTATGCTTCCTACATCAATTATTTATATTTATACTTGTTGCTTTCGAATAAAAACAATACATCATTTATTTATACTTATATTTTATTAATGTTCACCACACATGTTCAGGGAAACACATGTCAAATATGGATTTGTTACATGAATATCTATTGTACTATAGATGTCATTTATTTAAAAATACATGTTATGAGATGACGTTATGTAGACTGGCATGGCACCAATATAAATCTCTTTTTTATATAATAGAGTTTGGCATGTTACTTTTAAAATTAGATATATTAAGACACAGAATCATGGGCACACATCATGTACAGTACAGTGTACTCAAAACCCCAGAGCAGACAAAACAGCGACCCGCCTCGCTCATTTACAGCAAACAGCATGATCTAACCAAAAATGGTTTCCTGACGCAAATCAAGTGCTTGATTTGAAGGATATTAGCCTTGATCAAACTGGCTCCAATGACAGTTATGAGTGTGAAATAACCTAATTTCAGCATTTGTATGAGCATCCATATT